TCTAGAAATACTGGCAAAGTTTGGAAGGATTTATGTTCCAAAATATTTATTGCAAATTTGAAAGTGAAATATTAGAAACAACTCATTCAACAATCATGAGTGTCTTTTACTCTCCTTTTGCGGGGTTGGGTACCAGGGATCGAACTCGGCACCTTGCGCTTTGGAGGCAGGCGGCAGAATCACTGAGCTAAATCCGCGGCCTTTTTTATTTTTAATGAGACAATCTCACTGTGTAGTTGAGGATAGCTTTGAACTCACTATGTAGCCCAAGCTGGCCTCGAACCCGCGGCGATTCTTCTGCCTCAGCCTCCGAGGCGTGCCACACCACGTCGGGCCCTATGAGTACGTAATATGTGCAAAACGGCGTGTAATCTCAGCATTCTGAGAGCAAGAGGTTCACAAGTTCCGGCCCAGCCTAGACGACTTAGTGATTTGGTGAGACCATGTCTCAATGGGGATGTAGCTCAGGGCAAAAGCCCTGGGTTCAATCCCCTCTTACACACACACGCGCACACGCACACACAAGACCAGCCTGGACTACGTAATGAGAACCTGTTTCAAACAACAAAAAAATGGGAGCAGGGGATGTAGTTCAGTGGAGTGCCTGGTTAGCATATACGATGCCTTAGGTTCATCCCCAGCACCCCCCCACACACACACGCTCGCATGCACAATCACCACCAGCTGCCTATTGTATGTGTGCAGTGTGTGTATATTTCCATCGTTATAATCACCATGAAATAGGTAGGTGCAATGAGAAAAATATTCTGAGTTATTAGTTTGTCTAATAGCCTAGACTTTAGAGTTTACAGAAGGTCAACCCAATCTTCAGGAAAGAGTTTGTGTGTGTAGTACTACCCATCAAACCAGGAAAGACTCAACACAAGTTCAGGTTCTTCATAGACTTTAATTTTTCTCGTCTATTTATGTAGCAGGGTTCTCACAGAGATGGGACACCAAGGTGTATCTTTCCAGGATAAAACTTTATTCGTGCCAGCATGAGCTCAGTGGGCTAATACCCAAAAGGCTGAGCCCAGATCATGGCAGAGTTCTGCCTTTAAACAATTTTTGTGTGTCTGTCTCCCTTAAATGGTAACACACTAACATAGTACAGCCTGACTGGGTACAATCTGCGTCACAGAGTCCTACCAGAACTACCCATGGGTACCAAGGAACTAAATGTGCCCTGTTGCCTCTCTTGTTCTGAGAAAGCCCTCACCTCAATCCTTTGGAAGGAGCCCTACCACACTTACACAGTAATGTTAGACATGATAATCTGTGCCTGGCGTAGTGCAGAACTGTAATCTCAGCACTTGAGGGACCAAGGCAGGAGAATCTCCATGAGTTCCAGGCCAGCCTCAACTACATATTGAGACCCTGTCTCAAACAAACAAATGAACAATAAAGGGCATGAATACTTGTTAGGGGCAGAGAGAAAGTATAGTGAAGCAAACCCCACTGACTCTGGAACACCAGTCAGAATCCCCTTGTCCCGCTGAAAGGACCCGGTTCCATACCTAATTTCCTTTCAACAAAAATTTGTTTGATACCTACTGATCACCCAACCTTGGGAGTAGTAAGAAAGAAAAAAGTTACAATTCTGAGACGATACATTTCAGTCAGTCTGCTGGTTCCAAGGCAGGAAGGCACGACAGAGGTGCTGGGAGGAGGAGAGCTGCTTGAATATCTGCGGATAAGAAGCAGGGAGAGTTAGGGAGGAGCTGGCAAGGGAGAGGACCTTCCGGGTCACGTGATCTCTTCTTCTGCCGGTCCACCTGCGCCTACAGCCGGTTTATAAGCCCCGCGATCCATCGGGTCCAAAAGCCCTGCTTAGGAGTGCCTGAGGCTCTGGGGGTGTCTCTGTATAAACCCAACACTCCCTCTTTCTTGTTCAGAGAGCACTTGGGTCCGTTTATCATCCAAGCCCGTCCTTCATTTCTCTTGCAGATTCTGTGAACTCCCTGGTTCTTTCTGTTCTTCTAGTTAATTACATTTTTACTTAAAATAGCCATGGTTTATTTCTGTAGCACACCTGTGTATGCCCGTGCACATACACTTACACACACATACCACACACATGGGCATCAAATCTAGGAATTACTGGACTACATTTCCAGCCCTTTTTATTACTTTTTAAAAAATATTTAGACAACTTGGGATTGAACTCAGGGCCTTCTCACTGAGCCAAACCCCCAACCCTTTTAAATTTGAGATAGAGTCTCACTGTTTCCCAAACTGGGCTTCAAATTGAAATCTTCCTATCTCATCTTCCCAGAATGCACCACCATGCCCAGTTCTATTTTTGTAACTTTTTTTTTTTTTTTTTTGTTC